AAAAAAAAAAAAAAAAACATAACGGCAGAAATAAGGAGGGTGTATTCAATTGAAATTTCTAACTACTTTTAAAAGGTTTTTAAGACTACAAGTGTATTTTAAATAGTAGCCTGCCTCTGTGAAAACATACAAGCATCTAAAATGATTTGCAAGCTTGAATACAGCTAAATACCTCAAACTGAATGGGCTCGAACAAAAGATTGGCCTGCCATGAAGCTAGCGACTCGGATCCCTGTAATAACAATCAACAGTTTCTATTTTTTAGAACACATGCCATTCTAATGAAGAAACAAACCGTATGAAGAATCAGAAACTCATTAAACCTCTTCAAAAGTTAGAAAATCACACTCATCCATACCTGTATGACAAAGAATCTCGTGGCACTCTGATCATCATCACAGATGAACCACTCACAAGGCGAAGAAAGAGTCGAGTTCAAATCATCCGCAACGGCCTGCTTCACTTCCTCTTTAGCGGCAACAACTGCAGTCACCGAGTCTGTAGTGGCCATCAATGAGGCCACATCTTGATTCATCATGTCAACACAGCCTAATATATCTGCGTTGACTTTTTCAGGTAGATTTTCATCTGGGGTCGAGTCGGAGGATTTTAAGCAAAGGATACTTTTTGTGTGAGAATGTAAATAGGAAGCAGCCGAAGCAGCAATTTGATAGGCAGCTGATGTACTTATCCGGTATCCATTAGGCTCCGTTTGGCTACTTTTGGCATCTTGATCTTCGGCTTCTGCTTGTGCTTCTGGCTTGATTTCTCTTTGTCCCTCTTCGGCTGGTGCCTTCTCCTTCTCGGATTTCGATGCTTGTTCTCTTTTTTCCAAGGATGAAGTCACGAAATTTAATCTATGATACCTTAGCAGGTTCCTCGGCTGTACTCATCATTTCATAAAAAAAATAAAAATGTCACGGACATGAACAATTATGCAGCTCAGCTCAAACTAAGAGCTACAACCCCCTCAGAAAACACAACTAACTGACTACACAAGTAAGAATAAGTAACTCGTAAGGAAACAAAATACAAAAGGACAAAATAATTTAGAATATAAAAACTACTAAGAAAGCTATACAACCCGACTGCACAAATGATAAAACTATAATCCATATTAGTATTTTACCAATAAGATCATCCTTGCAGTGATCGCAATCCAACATTTCAGAAATTGCCACAAGCTCCAAAACCAAACAAAATTACAAGTAAAAAAGGAAATTGGTTGAAAAGATCCACAACTTCACAAAACAGGCTTGTATGCTAACATTAACAAAAGCAGATGAACCAAAATGAATCCAAAACCTTCAATGTTCTTAAATTCTTGAATATGAATGGAAACTAGAGAACCAAACATATCCAAATCACAGTGAAAGTATCAAACCTTGATTTGGGGGATGGAATAAGCTAAGCTTCCCAAATAAGACATTTGGGCATATAATCTGGCTTCACCCAACGGCACCTTTTGCAGAAGCTTCGAGAACGATTCTCGATCGAATTCAACCCTTTCGTCATCATCACCATCATCCTCATAATCAACCGTGCACAGATCACATCCTTCATCGTCCTCTCCACCGCCATTTTCAATCCCCTCTTCCAATTTTGCCCCCATTTCCTCCACGCAGTTACCAACCCTCCCTTCCTCCTTCCAGAGAGACCTCACGTGAAGAATCTTCGACACCCAGCTCCCGCCCCGCCCTAACTCATCATCGCCCTCTCTCACAACCTCCTTCTCCTCCACCAAAACGGCGTCGTCCACTGCGATTGCCGGCTCGTAACAATTTTTGCCCCCCGGCCACAGGGATCTGAGCGGGTGACGGAAAGTGAACCCCCACGGCGAACTCCTCTGCGACGGCGCCGCCGTAACCGACGGCCTGTCGCTCAATCGGACCTCTCCGTTTCCGGCGGCGGCGGCGGCTGCCAGCACGTCGTGGATCCCTGCCTTGAAACACAGAGCATCCATTGCCTAAAAAATTCCCAAAACAAACTTCCACACAAAGCTTGTTCAACGGCTGTTGTTGTGTGTATGTGCGTATAATCTATATGCAGCTGCTCCTGAAATGTGGAGCAGGATTTTTGCGTGAGCCAACGATCTTTGAATTTGAGGCCTCCCCCTGTAAATCATGAGGACAGGGCAAGGTGTGCGTTAATGGCGGGTAGGAGGAGAAATTAACTTCTTCTTTT